ACCTACCTACTTATTTAATTTCATGAAAAGCAGTCTGTCTGGGGCTGGGACAATGACGTTTTGGGGCAGGGCAAGACAAGGACATGGGGGACTCTGCACCTATCCCAACCTAACACGTGTTTTGTTTACAGATATATTGCTTCGAAATTACAAAAAAAAAATAGGACCAACAAGAAAGTTTCAATATGATCCAGTTTTTATGGAACGAGCACTGGCAGCTGTTACAAATGGTCGTATGAGTATAAAAGCTTGTGAGATGTATGCAGTACCTTACACGACCTTACAGCGGAAATATTGCGCAGGCGAGCGATCCTTAAAAATTGGAGGACAACCGGTCCTTTCAGAAATTGAGGAAAGAAAGCTGGTGGATTGTCTGTTACTTTGTGCGGACTGGGGATTTTCTCTACAAAGTATTGACATTCGGTATATGGTGCAGCAATATCTAAACAAAGCAGGAGAAAGAGAAAAAAGGTTAAATGACAATATGCCAGGAATAGATAGGTTCAAATCATTTATGCAGCGACACAAGAATCACAAGGTAAAATTGGCCGAAAATACAAAAAGAGTAAGGGCTGCCGTCGCCTAAAGACAGTTGAACAGTATTTTCGTCAGCTTGGAGAGTCACTGGAAGGTGTTCCGCCATCAAATATTATCAATTATGATGAAACGAATTTCACCGACGATCCAGGAGCTGTAAAAGTCGTCGTAAGAAAGGGATCAAAACACGCTCATAGAGTTATGGATACGTCAAAAACCAGCACAAGCGTAATGTTTGCAGTTGCTGGTGATGGAACACTTTTGCCGCCCTATATTGTATATAAGGCAAAGCATATGTACGAAGGATGGGAAGATGGAGGCTTTGCAGGTGCACGGTACAACAAAGCAATGAATGGTTGAAGATAATCTATGCAGCCACCTGTAACCACTTGATGTTGCTTATTTTCGCCTTCTTAAGAATGCTTGGCGAAAGGTGCTCACAAACTAGAAGATTAAAAACAGGAGTGTTCTTCCAAAAACCATGTTTCCCAAATTGTTGAATGAAACAATAGAAAATGTGGGTCTGAAATCAGGCTTAAACACCCAAGCAGGTTTTAAAGCTTGTGGCATTATGTCATTTAATTCAAATCAGACCTTGAGAAAGATAGAACACTTAAAAAAAAGAGAAGACCAAAATGAAGAGAACGAGGAAACAAGAGTAGAACAAAGGTGGGCGAATACCATTGTCGATTATTTAAGAGAACTAAGAACGGGCTCAGGAGAAAATCCAAAAAGGGGTAAAAGAGTGAATATGACTACAGGAAAAAGTATTTCTACGAAAGACCTTATAGAAGAAAGTGAAAGTTCTCAAAGCGAGCAAGAGGAAGAAGTGACTAATCTGAGTTCTTCAGAACTGGAAAATGACGAAGGAGGTTCAAAAGACCTACCCGAGGATATAGATAAAACTTTTCAGCTTGAAGAATTTGTTATCGTGAAATTTGTCACGAACAGAAGAGATATATTTTTTGCTGCTAGAATCGAAGAGATTCTAGGCGAAGAGGCCACGGTTAAATATTTACGAAAAAAGTCATCAACAAAACAAACCATTTTTGTCTATCCCGAAATTGAGGATATCGCCGTCGTGGTCAAACAAGAGCTTATAATAAAAAAAAATACAAGCAGTCCCTCTAAGAAGAGAAACTTTTACTTTCAAAAACATCACAGGCTGTAACTTAGAATAAGTATAAGTACTAAATTACCTAAGTATTAAGTTTTTATTCTTAATATTTACTTAGTTTTAAATTTTTGTTACTGTGTTTTGTAGCTTTTTATTTTCTTTAATAAAATATCAAAAAAGAAGCTATTTTAACATTATCAAAGTATGCCATATGTTCAAGGCTCAATGGCATTTGATAATTCTGACGTTTTGATGAACTGTCAGTGTACAGTGAACAGTAACGAACGTTTAATTTCGAATTTATGTGATTGTTAGTGTTGCAAAATGCCAGATACTTATTCAAATTTAGAATAAGAGAATTTTTATGTGCAAATTTGTTTATTTGTTAATATGCTATAACTTGAAAACAAATGAAAATCGGATAAGAATATATGAGTTTTTTTACATTATTTTCACGTGTATAATATACTCCTAGAGTTTGGTGCGCTCCTCCCGACTCACCCTGTATTTTTTACAGAATTTTTTAATTTCCAAAAGGTACGAAAAAACCTAAAATTTTGATCCGTTTCACCCCGTTTGACGGTACGTTATGTAGTAGAACAGAAGTAAAAGTTGGAAATGCTTTTGCCAGTTCTCCCACTTTATACACATAAATTGACAGGTTGGCAGCGGATTTCACCGAAGTGGACGCGATACATTGGCGTACAAAATTATTTTATAGATGTTAATAACAATTTCGAGTAAATAGTTTAATAAATTGTGAATAGCTGTTGAAATTTTGTAAAATTATAATTTGAATATTATAATACATGTTTAATAATTATTTATAATCCATAAATACATGCGATTGTCCGGTTTCGCTGATAACAATTTAAAATTACTTATTCTATGAAACGACACTGGCAGGTAAACATTACTGTGAAATTCTCGGAGCCGCCCGACGTGGTTTGACGTTTACCCCCTCTCTACCTACCAAATGACTTTTCAACTTTTACTTTCTCTATAGATAACCTTGCAAAAACACATGGTATTGATGTGAGTCTTCCTCCCTATCTCTGCAAACTAAATCCTATTCAACTGATATGGGCACAAGTTGATATGTAGGTCTACATAATACGACATTTAAGTTAAAGGATTGTTAGAAACTTCCATATTACTTGTTACGAAGGAAAATTGGCATAAGGCAATCGAGCATGTGTTAAAAGAAGAAGAAAACATGTGGAATCTGGACAAAATCTTGCGATGTCGATACTACAGTGCCACTTTTAATAATATCGGTAAATAATGACTCATCAAATGAATATAGTGATTCAGACACTTTCACGTTTCCTGATCTTCGAGAGTAGGTAAGCACATTATCTATTTTATACCTAAATTTTATAATCATATTAGTAAACAAGGAGTAGGGTCTGGCGGCGCGGCGTTGAGACCACCCGATGAACGCTGCCAGAAACTAAACCACCAAAAAAAGCTCAAAAGCGTGCAAGGCTGCAAAAACGCAAGCAAAACAGGAGCATGTCAAAAAAGTGGTGAACATATTGAATTTACCAAGTTCTTGCATGTTCCCAGACAGCACACCAAATCCTTTGGATATCTACTGAACATCCCAATATCCACTGAATGTCCAGTCCATGGTGGATATCTATTTTATATCCATGAGATATATTGGATATCCACAAAAGATAATCTGTGGATATTTCTGGGATTTGGTGTGTTGTCTGGGTTACCACAAAAAAAATACTAAAAACAAAAAATTGGCCTTAGCCAACCAAAAAAATTGTTTTTCTGTGGTAAGTGGCGAGGGGACTCACCTAAAATAAGCACCCCGGCTGTTAAATAACAATTATTTAAATTTAAAATAGTAACAAAAAAAATAATACAAACAAATACCCCCTATTTTACCCAACCGTGCGCTCATCAGAGTCTTAAAAGGGATTAAAATAAGGGTTGCCCAATGTTACGTTCCACTAGACCGGGCGGCACAGATAAAATTCTAAAGATCTTCTTAACTGTTGGCTCTTTAAAATTACCTATTTTGTTTGAGCCGTCTGTGCTGTTAAAACTCCCATAAGATTTTGATTTATTACTTCGTCTCGATTGCGATTCTACTATTGTCAAAATTAGAAAAAATACTGTATGTAACACGTTACGAAATGCCATTTTATGTAACTCATACATGTTGCGGTACCTCGCTCTGCTCCTCCCGCAAATATTCACTCATTAAATAAAATAGGATATTTCGTAACTAGTTTCATAAATAGCTATTTCGTAATCAGTTTCATAATCAACTTTTTCTACACCCGTATTATAATAATGCACTTATATGCCCATAATCCGTTTCATAATGATACCCATTATGATACAGATTTTTCATTACGATACAGATTTTTCATTACGATACAGATTTTTCATTACGATACAGATTTTTCATTACGATACAGATTTTTAATCAATAGAAACCTACAATTTTTCAATCAAGCATGCTGTTTGACGTTTGTCCTAGGTTCCTATGTATTTGTTTTAGTTGTCAAAACGTATTAAATTTTGGTAGATAACTAAACTTCGTTAATTATAATATTAAAATGTCTGATATCAGCGATATAGAAGACTCCTCCACACATATCGGAGAAAGCAGAAAATACAGTACAAAATATTTTGCCGCAAAAATCTAGGGAAATACCAATACCCGAAGTAATACCATTAATTACAATTTTGTAGAATTTTTTATAGAAATACACGAGTAATTATTGTTATTGTGTTCAATACCAATATAAATATAATTTTATAGGCCTTGATTATTATTCGGGTGTAGAAAAAATAGCGTATGCAACTCTCATGTAATGGTTATTAAAACACACGCATAAACCATACGAAACTCGCCTTTGGCTCGTTTCGTATCCCGGTTAATGCTCGTGTATTAATAACCATCATTACATGATCGTTGCATAATATACTATTATGCAATTGCTTGCATAAACTGGTTGCAAAAAGTAGATCATTTTGACACTTGCAGCGATTACAAAAAAATGTCAATTTATATATCAAAATTAGAAAAAACAAAATTTATAGGCAATGCGATGTTATGTGATTCAAAGCTAAGTTCAAAGCTTACTTTATATAAAGGGTGTCTGAAATAAAAAAGAGTTAAGTCATATGGCATTTATTGTAATTATAAAAATATTGCATTTGATTTTTCTTATGGCACTAAAATGGAAACAAAAATTAAAATTATATTCTCCCAAAACAAATACCTACTGCGTAAAATAAAATTGTTCTTTTATATTTAACCAGTAAAAGTAGCTATAACTTGCCATTTACTTTTAATTAAAGTAATATGTAAGCCTACAAATGGTTTATTATCCTTACCCTTTCAATTGCATATGGTTAGTTGGCGTATCATTCAATTCAGAGTCAATTTTTTTATCATTAGTAAAAAATTTAATGATGACCCTATTTTAAAATATAATCTTTCAATATATCAGATAATCGAAAGGCAATCTCTCCCTGATGTAGTGATATAACTCTAAACCGTCGCCAACTATGTTTATAGAGGGGTTATTAAGTGTGTATTATTTTACAGATAATTTTTAATGAGTTGAACAGCTGTTTTTTTAATGATTGATACCGCTATTTCATATAGAATAATAGCCAAAACTTTTTATTCTATTGAAAGAAGCATAGTAAATATTAAGGATTAAAAAGATCTATTAATTCTTCGATTTAAACAGTTGGTTTTTAAATAATTCAAGATAATACTTGTAGGTACAACTTACTGACCAGAATAAATATCTTATATTTTTAATACGTACAAAACAATGTTAAATACCTGTTTATTTGCTTATTACTAGATAATTCATTAAAATTATTCTTCGTATTGGTTTTGGGAGAAGACAATTACTAATTTCTGTAATAACGGGGTTTTCTGACCAATCTCGCATACTTCAATAGCCATTTAAGAAAATCTAGATTTATATTTCAATAATTATCAATATTAATGGGAATTTTTGGTTTGGTAATTTTTTTATGGATTATATTTTCTGAATATATTTTTTTTCAATAAGATTCTTATTTTATATACCTACCTATTTAAAAACATACTTCTCAAATGATGTGTACTTTATACAGAATGTCCAAGAAATAAGTGCGAAATAAGTTCGAAAATGTGCTACGGCAAAACTAGGAAAGATTTGCGAATACTTGCTTTTGAAGTAGCCGATGCAAATAAATTTAACATTCCTGAAAAATGGAAAATTAATAAACGGGCAGGGATGGAATGGTTATTAGGTTTTATGTCACGGAACCCTGAGTTGAGTGTAAGACAACTAGAAAGCTGTAGCCTTTCCAGAGCTACTTCATTTAATAAGAATATTGTAGGCCAATTTTTTGCCAATTTGGAATCCATCTATCAGCGTTCAAAGCATTTTGCAGATGGGACTCGCATCTACAACCTAGACGAGACCGCAACCACTACTGTTCAGAAACCACGTAAAGTTGTAACAAAAAAGGGAATTAAACGAGTTAGCTCAGCAACTAGCGGTGAACGCGGAATATTAGTAACCACCTGCTGCACTGTGAACGCAACTGGAAGCTTTATTCCACCAGTTATGGTTTTCCCAAGAAAGAAATTTAAACAGCACATGCTGCACAGCGCTCCTCCCGGTACCTTAGGCCTTGCACAACCATCAGGATGGATGACAATAGATTTATTTATAGAACTCATGAATCATTTTATACATCATACCTCGAGTAGTGTAGGCAATCCCACACTATTAATTATGGATAACCATGAAAGCCATTTATCGGCTTATGTTCTTGATCTAGCAAAGAAAAATGGAGTTATTATCTTGACATTGCCACCGCACACCTCTCCCAAATTGCAGCCTTTAGATCTTTCGGTTTTTTTCCCATTCAAATCCCAATATAATGCTGCAGTTGAATCGTGGATGCTAAGGAATCCAGGCCGTCCGATCTCAATTTATGAAATAGCTGAATGTGTTGGTGTTGCGTTTGAAAAATCTATGACCCCCAAAAATATAACAGCAGGTTTCAAACATTTTCACGGACGACGATTATATTGCTAGCAGTGTCACTGATCGATGCCAACCAGCTGATGAAATTGCTGGTCCATCTGAGCATCACATTACTGGGGATTGCGGAGACGAAACATTTGAAACCATTACGGCTGATTAGGGCCGACTAGAGGGGGGGGGGGGGCAGCTGGGACTAATTCCCGGGGTCCGGACTCAAATAGGGGCCCGGCGACCGGATTTTTGTTGTTTTCTATCAGAAGTTCGGCACAAGACGAGAGGAGGAAAAGTTTGTTGTTTGAAGAGCTTTTTTTTGTTGCGGGGCCCGATCTAGAGAATTGTCCTGGCGCCCGGTCTGGCTCTCGGCGGCCCTGGGCTGATAATCATGATTGCAATGGCACAACAATTGAAACTTCTAAGAATGAGATTCAAGAATCTGAAAGGCTATCCGAAAGCACCAGAATTAATACAAAAGAACAGGGCTAGAAAAAAGAAGAGTATCATAGCTACAGACACGCCAGAACTTAATGAAATAAAAGCAAAATCCAAGGAGAGAGTGAGGCAGGCGGAATTAAAAATGAGAAAAAAGCAAGGAAAATTAAATGACGTTAAGACCAGAGTGTTTAAAGAATCTTCTAGTGAAGAGTCTGATAGGGAATCCTATCAGGAAGAAACTAGGGGCTCCTCTGAAGATGCTAGTGATATTGAAGATGCCTTTGATAAAGATAACTTTCTTGCAATGGAGCGACAACCAATCGCTGGGGACTACGTTTTAGTTCAATTTGATGAATTAAAAACTGTTATCTTTTGTGTCGGAAAAATTTTAAATAAAAAAGAAGATGAATTTGAAATTTCATTTCTTCGTAAAAGTAACAAGTCTAACAACTGTTTTTTCCACCCCGTAACAGAAGATATAAGTATGATAAAAACATCAAAATAATACTTTCCAAATATTTAACGACTGGGAAAACTTAGAGGCAAGTCCTATCTAGCAAAATACGTTTTTTGGATACTGTTTTTTTCAAAAAAATGTTCATTTTCCTTTATTATATATTTTTTCATATTTTTTGTATTGTTTTTTGGTCTAAAAAGTTTCTGTCTCATAGTGGCACATACTTGTTCCACAATGAGACAAAAATCACGATTTAAAAAAAATTACTATTTATTTTCTGAATCGATATATTGATAAACTTATTGCGTTAAATGACGAGAAATATGTCAATCTATGTGCATGAAACAACAAAATTACAAAATTCAATCATAACCTCTGGAAACCCACCGAAACGTAATTTATGTCTCATTGTGGAACACTTTCCCCTACATGTGATTTATCTGTATTCAAGAGTTGTATTATTAGATTACATCAGGAAACAATTATAAAAGTGACATAAAGTCACAGGTAGTGTAACTAAAAAAACTATTTGCTACTGAAGAATGCGAAATGGGTTATTAAACACTACAGGTATATATTATACCTTTAGGTATTATCACAAACTTTGTCTAAAATGTTTATCTACTCATATCAATTTAATGGTGGTGATTTATATATGCCACTGAACAAAACTGTATGTGCTTTGCGATTGTAAATGAGGTAAATGAATGGTTTATTGCACGTGAAGTTAACATTGTCGTCTTCGTCTGCCATCATTCTCCACGTGAAAAACGCAGTGGCGGCAGCGGCCTGCGACCCGTGTTCGTTGATTTCGATTCTTGCTTTGTGTATACCTTCACCAAGCGACACTTTTTGTGGGGACAGAGCGCTGAAGTCAGCGTCCGCTTTGAATAGGTTGCCCACACCCAAAAAATCTAGAATCTACCAGAGAAAGAGACGTTGTTAGTGTGGTTAAATGTGTAAAGAAAGTCTATCTGGTGCTATTTTTTGTTTGTAGCTATAATTAAATCGTGCAATATTGGTTAACACAAAACATTTGTTTGAACATTATATCATACAATAATTATTACGTTTATAAGTTTGTTATTTTGGAACCCTTTCAAGAAAGAATACTTAAAATATCGTATTTTCTTATCCATTTAATTTATAACATGTTTGTATCTTTACAATTCGAGAACATCGTGTAATATATCGCGCATAAACCACCAGTGGAGCGCTACGAATCCAGTTTAGATTTATACATATTTTTATTGGAATTACTGAAGCCCCCTTACCTATGTGGTTTCAGTTTTGCTCTTGTCCCGACGAAAACATTTTGTTACCCTACTTTTCAATAATTTTCGACCAACACGAGTACGCAAACGCAAAATATCACGATTGGACATACAGGGTGTCCCAATAGTGTGTAGAAGTTCGATATATCCTATATTATAGAAAATATCAAACAATGTTATTTACAAAAGTTGCAGATAATATTAATCTGCACATTTCAAAATTATTTTCGATTATACAGAGTGATCCATAACTTCAGAATTGATCAAACCTGTTTTTTTTTTAAATGGACCAACCTGTATTTAATTGTAAATTTGAATTCCCCTGACTTTGCCCTTCAAGAAAATACCAACATGTATGAGGTTATACTAGGTATTTTGGAAGTTTAAACCAATTTTATATGAAAATCGTACTAGGTTCAACCCCAAGTATATTTAAAAAAAAAATATCGAATATCAAAATTTTTTGATGAATCATTTTTAATGATAGTCTACTTTTATAAGAATATACTTATAAGTTTCATTTAGTGTTAATTTAAGTTAAGTCTCGTCATAAATAAATTATTTATCATGTATATGACTTAATTTGTTGGAAATATTCACCTATTGATTGCTACAAGAACATCTAGAAATATGTATTTACTAAACCCAAGGCATGTTTTATTAAGTGGTTTAAAGGACATTCCAGGTACCACACCTTTATTATTGATGAACTTATTTAAAAAATCTTACTAGACTTATTCTTATATTATGAAGTGAATTATGTAGTACTTTGTATACATGTAAATGGTAATAAAACCGTCACAAATCAGATTACAGTTTGATTCTAAACAAAGTTTTGCAAAATTTCAATATTGTAAATTTGTAGATATCCATTTATAATAAAAAACAAAATTTTACGTCTTGCACTTGGAAAATAATGAATACTTCAGTTTTGATTTTGACATTAACACCATATAGATTGCAATTTGCTGCGGACTTCTTCGCAGATTTCATTTTTAATATAAACACTATCACATACTATAAGAAATAAACAAATTTAAAGCTAAAAAGTAAGAAAAAAACTTGAATTGTAATTGATACAAATTAAAATGTAAACAATGAACACGAACGCCAATGTTGCCAAATGATGAACTGATTTTAAAACAAAATTAATAAATGAACTGAAATGAAATGAAAAAAAATCAATATAATAAATCGGTTTTATAAAAAAAACCTTAAATAAATATAGAGTATGATTACATATTACTATACATAAATTTTGATTCTTAAATGAAAGGTCTTATCCACTTCTTCAAGAGCTAAAATCCGACGACGTAGCGAAATTTTGCTACTTCTGGCAACACTGAACGATATCGTACTTATACGGACCTTCTACAAATTTCCTCCAGAGGGCGTATCACTTAGCTTGAATCGCGAATAGCATAAATTGAAATATTGAACAATTACGTACTAATGGGACACACTGTATAGAGATGATTAAAATTCTTACAATTAATAAGTCTTTTATTAAAAAAAAAGGTTAAAAAGGGCATGGCTAATGGCAATGCCCCCTCCGAAAATAAAGGAGATATTAACATCATCAAGATCATTGTCATCCGGTATAAGGTTCCAAGGATTAATAAATTATTAGAATTTTAGTGAAGAAACGTGTTATCAATTAAAAATTAAATAAATTCATACAATGTTTACATGCAAAAATATTAAAATATACAAGACGTCCATTCATAACTTCTTTCAAAAATGTTTCTTGAAGGGGTTCCAAACATTTTTTAAATTAAATATTTTATTAAGGTAAATTGTATATGATACTCATATTTATTTTTATTCTTATTTAGTTTCAAGCAATCTTTCATCAACCGTAAAGAAAATCAATTAAAAAGGTCTTTAAATACCTACGAGGTAAAGTCCAAAAACATCCCTAATGATACTCAATTGTAATAATTAGTTCCGCCACTGCTCATCATGTACTTAATTGAATCCTTGAAGTTATTATTTTCTATACAACCTATGTTTAAAAGTGTATTGTTTTCACCTTGTTTCAAAGTTGGGATATTCCAGTTGCTGCAGAATATTTAAATTCAAGTATGTGAATGTGAAAATAAAATAAAAATGAATACTATTTTACTCATGGATTATTTTTATCGTCATACTCGACGGATACAGTGTAGTTTAATTTAATGGATCATAATTTTTAAATCGACAGGAGATGTGATTGAACATAATCATCACCTCTGGTAGATAATAATATCGTTTTAGCGGAAACCCAAGTTTTATCTTAATGACCAAGTTTATAATATTCATTATTTTAAAAATAAAACCAAGTAATAAAACAAAACCAAAATGTAAAAGTCGACAGTTACAAAATGTATAAAAGAAACTAAGAAACAATATAAAAACCAGGTATGAAAAACTAGAAATACAAATAAATAGTTTTGAATTTGAGAATGAAGCCACTAACTTCGTTATCTACTAATAGTGATTTAATTATTCTGAAAAAGAGTCCAGAAAACAAGGAAGGAAAATAAGGTAGACCTAACTGTTATCTATCTAAATGGAGTCGTTGAATTAAAATTCTCGAAAAAGAATTGAAAGAAAAGTACAGGTCGCGGAGGAGTGACAATTCAAAAATACATCATTGCGTAAAAGATGTATTGACATAAGGTAAATTAAAAAATCATTATCATATACTTATTGCCAGTTTCTGGTACTTATCTATAGATAATAATCGCTCGATAGTAATCCATCATATAACTAGGTTCGACATATTCCCACTAGATGGACTTTAACAATTTAATGTCGTGTTGTCTTTTTTATGTATGGGAAAATGGAAGGCGAATTTTTTAAAACTTCCAAAAACTTTACAGACGTCGATAACATATATCGATGGCTCAATCAAAAACCGCCACAAGTCAAAAAACAAACAAATTAAATTTTTTGGTCCAATGGATACAAAATATCATTAAGGTTTTACTTTAAATACCGCCACAAATAAAAATATCCTTAAATATGCCCAAAAATCATTTAAAATCTAGTCACAGACTGTGTCTAAAACTACCTCAATTCGAGTTATTTTCTGCAAAAACACCCAAATTTTATAAAAACTATGCAATAACCCGCTTTTATAATCGTAATCGTTAATTTTAACAGCAAAATATCGTAGATTTTAAATAAAATATAAAGATTTTATGCCAAAAACAAAATAATGATAATAGAGACTTACAAATTTCAAAATGAAATTTCTCGAAACAATAGTTTTTGAGTTGTGGCAGTATTTGATTGAGCCATCGATATGTTATTCGAGATGGTTATTGAGAACAGATGTCATTAGAAATGAAAAATTCTCGTATGTTATGTTAATTAAATCAATCCTATATATGTTTAGTAAATCTAAAACGGTCCCTATATTCTTCAAAAGGACCATTTCTAACGCGAGAATGGCGAAGAATGTCTATAATTTCTAATATTTCCTCATCGAGGGGCTTAAATTATTACATTTTAAGTTTATGTATTTATTTTTTTCCTGATATTTGAGAAACCAATTTGAGAAAGAAATGTCAAACTATGATCTGCTAACTTGCATGTGCCAGATAAGTACTTATCGAATACATATCTCACCAAAATGGCAATATATCAATTCGATAACTTATAGAACGAATAACTCTTGTTGTGCTTTTCAGAAATCAAATTTCTCCAGTTATTCCTCTGTTAAGGATATCGAACACATATCTATTATTAGATAAACCGGCCATTAGACAGTCAAGCGACGTTACACCCAGTTCCATTCAGGCATACTCGAAGTTTGTATGGGACTGTTTGGAAGTCCTAACAGAGCTGGATAGTCAAAACAGACTAACGTTAGGCCCCAGAATAAAGAAGCTGATTTGCTAGTCGGAAAAGGAACTTCAAAGGCTATTTTTTGGCCCAGAACACTTCTCTGGTAACAAAAAGACAGCCATCAGAACATGCACAAAGTAGTAGATGTTAAACAGATCTTAGGAATGGTGGAATAATTCACCAGAACAAAAAAAATAATAGGAAAAATACGGGCCTATTAACAGGACATTGTAGGCTTAAGAGACATGCATAACATCGGCGTAGCCTAGGGTTGCCAGACGTCACGCTTTAGGCGTATTTTCCACGCTTTTTGACTTGCTTGTACGCTCAACGTCATAGTACGAAAATGTACCGCTTTTGACAAAATGCCACTCTTTTTATACAAATGCCACTCTTAATATTCAAAGCCGTAAATATAAAGAAGGGACTGGATTTATAGAAAAAGGTAAGGTGAAGACTTTTTTTTAGAGAAATATCGGCTAAAGGATTCTCGTTAACGAAAGATCCAAGGTGAGGACCTTTTTTTTAGAAATTTCTAAAATTATGGACTTGATTATATAAAAATGCTTAATATTTGAACCTGAAGCCCTGTCGGCAGGGGTGTTACGCTTTTCACTTTCAAAAATCTGGCAACCCTAGCCTATTATGTCAGGAAGAGGAGGAAGCTGTTGTGAACGTATTGTGCTATTTTGCAAGGTCTATCAAGATTGACAGTCCTTTCACTTGGAGAAGAAAAATCAAGGGTAATTAGCTACACTGGACAACTACTTCCTAGTCTATGGAATCTACTAGCCAACATACTAGCCAAGGATC